GCCTTCCTGCCGGGCTTGTACGCCTTGATTCTATGTCCTGAGTAGACCAAGTTGATATATAAGTAATACTAAAACAGTTAATCTTTAATGTACTGACCCCAAGTTTAGAAAACTCATATATCATAATAAGTAATAGGTTTTTTCGAAAACCCTAGCATGCCACAAAACCTTTCATAAGACATATCGTATATAGGGTGCTTAGTAGTAGTAGTACAAGGCGCGCGCACACACACACACATATAACTTCATTCACCTGAAGGCACTACATTTCCCTGCATAAGCCAATATAAATATCTTCAGGCTGAAACCACCAACCTACGCTCGGCCGAAGCCAATATAAGTATCTTCCGACCGAAGCCACCAACCTACGCTCGGCCGAAGCCAATATAAGTATCATTCGCCCGTAGGCAGATCGTATGAATAACATCTAAGTAAGCACATAAAAACATTAACATAATACTTCTAATATATATATATATATATATATATATATATATCTCAAATCGGGGCTCAGTAACTAAAACATCATATCGTAAAACCACATTCATAAGTAGGTATATAGTCATCAATCATATATACCACAAAGAACGTAAAGTCGAATAAGCATGATAATTCATAAAGCTTGAAACCAATTTACTCATAAACATTTCATAAAATGTAGACATAAAATCATGGTTTTCATGTATGCATTTCTAATAGTAAAATATGCATTTTAGAAGGGGTCGACTCACATATACTTCGCCGTCGAAGGGCCATGCAAACAAAAGAGGATGGAAATGCCATACACAATTGCACCTAAGCACATAAAGGTACCAATTAATAAAACTATACTAAAACGATTGAATTTCGGAAAATGAACATCGTAAACAGATTCAAGACGTCAAAAACATAATGGGGGACCTCAGGTACCTCTATGCGTCATCGTGGACGACGGCAAAGCATAGTACCTCCTATGGAGGCACGTGTGCTCCATGCACCAACCAAGACAGGTGCCCACGAGCGGCCCACGTGAGGCCTGGATTCTGGGTTGGGCTTGGTTTATGGGTTGGGTTGGGATTTGAGCTTGGGTTTGTGTTTAGGCTTGGCTTAGTGGATTGGGTCTCTGAGTTGGGCTTAGTTACATAGGCCCAAGGTTTGGGCTAGATTAAGGAATTTGGGTTGGATTTTGCAGGTCGGGTCGACTCGGTTTTAAGCTAAGGTTTGGCCGAATTTTGGGCATAAATTCAAGCGCCCATAACTTCTTCGATACTCAACCAAATCAAGTGATTCAAAAACCAAAGTTGTAGTACTCAATGAGATGAAGAGAATGGTACCTTGCATGACTGCTAACTCACCTTGATTTGGTCGAAATATGCCTTGAAAGTGGCGGTGCTTGTAAAAAAACTGGGAAAAGCTACTCCGAGCTATTTTATACAATTAACACGTATGTACAACTTAAAACAAGCTTCGATTTGACCCTAAAACACATCCTAAGGGTTTGAGGGAACTTACCAACATTTGGAAAAATCATGAAACAAGTAGGAGTCCAATAGGGAAGATGGTGAATAGTGACTCCGTCACTGTTGGGGTTCCACAAAGGTTTGCCTAGGGTTTTCAAGGTCCTAACGTCCAACGGGAAGGGTTGTGGTTGAGCCCAGAAATGAGAGGGAGAGTTTGACGAGGGAGAGAGTCGAGGAACTAAGAGAAATGGGAGAGAAAGGTAAGGGGAGGGAGAGATATAAGAGAGTTGTGAGAGGGAGAGTGAGTCACGGGTCCAAAGGAAGAAAGGAGAGAGGGGCGGAGGGACCAAAAAGGAAATGGGCCCCAAGTGGCAAACAATTTAAGACCCAGAAAGCAACAATTCAAAATGTCTAGCCAAATCCTAATGAAATTACCCAAATGCCCTTTCGTTCCGTAAATTCCAGGACGGGTTGTCACACTTGATAAGCTAATTCATGTAGATGTCTGTTTGTCGGGCTATCCACCTAAACCAGAGGCCGTTATAGATGCTATGACAAAACTTCATAAGGAAATTTCTTGAGATAGGAAAATCAGCGTTTTACTACCAGTCATGAGTTTCGTGCTAGACGCAGTACTCATACTGGAAATTATGATCAAAGATTGCTTTATCAACCACTGTCTAACGTTTTCTCCATCATACTTATTATTCATTATAGATTTATTCACCCTTGATGAATAGGTTAATAAACACAAATTAATAAGAAAAAGTTACAAGAATTACATAAGTTGAAAGGCATAATTTTTTACTAACAATTCATTATTTATTTATCTAATAATAAAAATGCACCAACACATTGTTTTTTGAACAAACAATATTATCTAGACTAAGGGGGTGGAGGAGTAGCTAAGCCTTATATTGGACTTACTATAGTAATTTGATTCAAAATCGCCTTTCCTGATAGTAACCATATGTTAGTTTAAGATGGCGAATAATTCTTGCCTTTCCTTTGTTTGGCAACAAGGCGAAACTAGTTTGAAGATACTGTTGGCAAGTTACAGAGATTAAATTAGGGCTGTATTTTGATAGTTTTGATGTTTTTGTTTTCTCTAATTTTTCTTTTTATTTGCAAGTGTTGGGTATTAATTAATTTGAATTAACTGTCAAGCGTTATGTGTATTTGTTTTATCAAAGAGAATTATTATTAGCACTCCAAAAATTTCATTTGGCACTCCAAACTTTCTATGATTAGAAAGAAAAATACACTTGTGACGGGTGTATAATGAATTTTTCGGAGTGTTAATGTAAGATCCCACATCGCCCAAGGGAGTGATCCTTATATGTATACTCTCATCCCTACCTAGCACGAGGACTTTTGGGAGCTCACTGGCTTCGAGTTCCGTTGGAACTCCGAAGTTAAGTGAGTAGCGCGCAAGAGCACTCCCATGATGGGTGATCCACTAGGAAGTTTTCGTGTGAGTTCCTAGAAACAAAACCGTGAGGGTGTGCTGGAGGCCCAAAGCAGACAATATCATGCTACAGTGGAGTCGGGCCCGGGAAGTGGTCTCGCCCGGGCCAAAATGTGACAATTTGGTATCAGAGCCTAACCCTGGCCGTGATGTGCCGACGAGGATGTTAGGCCCCCAAGGGGGTGGATTGTAAGATCTCACATCGCCCAGGGGAGTGATCCTTATATGTATATTCCCATCCTTACCTAGCATGAGGCCTTTTGGGAGCTCACTAGCTTCGAGTTCCGTTGGCACTCCGAAGTTAAGCGAGTAGCGCACGAGAGCACTCCCATGATGGGTGACCCACTGGGAAGTTCTCGTGTAAGTTCCTAGAAACAAAACCGTGAGGGTGTGCTGGGGGCCCAAAGCGGACAATATCGTGCTACGGTGGAGTTGAGCCCGGGCAGTGGTCCTGCCCAGGCTGGGATGTGACAATTTGGTATCAGAGCGGCGCAACAGAAGTGTGGTGAACCCCGGGCCGGGATGTGACAGCTAATAACAATTCCTTTATCAAATTGATTTTTATTATTTATTTACATTTTAATCCTCTAATTTTTTTAGTGTCATTCGAAATTGGTCTCAAAACTCTCAAACATTTTAATTTTACACATTTTAAGCAAGCAGCTAACCCATTGACAACGTCACATCCATTAAGCCTCAGTTAATTTTTCCCCTAAATATACATATGGCAACAATGGGTTCCACTTTTTAGCTTGCTTGAATAAAAATTAATAACTTGAAAAAACGAAATAAAAAATGAAGACTGGGAAAAATCAAGCTGTCGTCGGGCTGCCACCACCAAGCTCAACCTACCACCACCAAAACCACAGCCTAACCTTTACATTCAAAACTTGTTGACCAATTGGATTTTTCATGGTCAACATTAATATTAATAACCTCCAAATCTAAATTTCACACAAATTATATAATATGGAACCCATTGATTAAAATGGTATTAAATTGAATCAAAATGGACCCAAATTGCTTTACATTAGGAGGCAATCTCCTAATAAAGAAGAGGGTTAAGAATTCATATAGGGTTTCAAGGAGCCTTTTTCCGCTTATGAAATTTCCTCATTCGTCGATTCTCGGCTCTTAAAGCTTGTAGTTCTTCTTTGTGGACGGTGAAGATGGTGGTGACCCGTAACCACATCATGGCAGTCCATACCATGTTAGCAACAAAACACCCCACAAATATTCATCAACTTAATACACCCGCTTAACCTGTCTAAACAACTCTCTCACAAAGTGGTCTTCGGGAACTCGTCTTTAGTACAAAAGAAAAATGTTCAAAAAACTTTTAATTGTTTATTCTCTTCTGCACATCTAGGGTTTTGTCAATTTAGGGTTTTAGATTTTTGTGAACTTTGGGGTATTAGGTTTCCTTAATGACCTTAGGAAAAAAAAAAAAAGTTCAGAGAACTAAAGAGCATGAGAGGGTAATTCTACGGTTCACAAAGATTAGAAAAATAAAATAAAATAATTTTGAAGTATATGCATATTCTACATATATACAAGTTCTTCATGCTCCATCATGTACCGGTGAAATATCAAACATATAAAATTCTTAATATTAGAACTACATAAAATGCTCGATCATGTACTCGTAATACCAGAACTATTTCAACATATCAAATTCTTTTGAATTGTGTCAACGATGCACTAGTGTGGTGTGTCTAAAGAACAAAATCTTATTTAAAAAATATTCAAGGTCTAAATAATCAATATAAAACAAGTAAGTCTTTTAATATTAAAAGTAAACAACCCAATTCTAATTGTTACTTAAAGTTAAACCGAATTGAATTGTTAACAAGGGTATACTAGTAATTTAACCCCAATTGTAATTGTTACTTAAAGTTAAACTGAATTGAATTGTTAACAAGGGTATACTAGTAATTTAACACAGAACCATAAGCGCCAATTTGACGCCAAGTATTCAAATTGGAGGGAAAACGGTAACATGTGCTTGCGGAACCCTAATAATAAAAAATAAAATAAAATAAAAAAATAATAAACGAATCTATACATACTGCAATTGGAGCGCAGTGAGAAAATTAGAAACTTGAAAAACGAAAAGTAGCAAATATCACAGAGAAAAAGTGACCGTTTGAAATTTGAATCTCTCCCTCTTCTTTCTTCTCCGACCTCCATTGATTCTTCATCATTCATCGCTACACAGAGCAATTGATTTGTTGTGAAAGAGATGACCAACAGATTCACGGCCGTTTGGGCCGACAATTTTGCACAGGAAATCGCCGCCGTCGATCGCTTTCTCACCCACTTCCCCATCGTCTCCTTCGACACGGAGTTTCCCGGATTTCTCCGCAACACACCCAGAAGTGCTTCCGACGCTCTCCGCTACCAAGATCTCCGCTTTAACGTCGATTCCCTCAAACTCATCCAATTGGGTATCACCCTCTTCGACGATCTCGGCAACATCGGGGGCACCTGGGAGTTCAATTTCCGGGGTTTTGACGAGGAAACCGACCCGCACGTTGCCGATTCCATCACCCTTCTCAAAGCCAACGGCTTGGATCTCGAGAAATTTGGGAAATTTGGAATCGACCCGGAGGTTTTCGAGGAGGGTTTTGCTGAGGTTTTGCGGATGCACAGAGGGCGCCTCTTATGGGTGAGCTTCCACGGCCTCTATGACTCGGCCTATGTGATGAAGCTCATGACCCGGAAGGCCATGCCGAGCTCACCTACCGAGTTCGCCGCGATGGCGGGAAATCTATTTGAGAGGGTTTGTGACCTGAAATTTATGGCCAAATTCTACCAGGGCCTGCTTGGGGGCGAAATTGGGCTCGAGAGGATGGCGAAAATCCTCCGAGTGCAGCGTTATGGCGATGCCCACCAAGCGGGTTCCGATAGTTTGTTAACGGCTGATGCATTTGTGAAGATGAGGGCTCAGTTTGGGTTGAAGCCAGGGATGTATGAGGGGTTTCTATATGGGTTAAGTCCAAAGATTTGTGCTTCTTCTGTACACAGGGTTAGAGCTCCTCCTGGTCAGGTTATCCTTGTCCCTGTTGTACCCACTAGACCTGTCATTCTCGCCCGCCGCGCCTCCTACTCCTCCCGTGATCAGTCCTTCCAGAGCCATCACCAGGCTTCGCCTATGCTCTATCCATATCCTTCTCCAGCTCCGATGTTTATGCATAGGCCTATGTGCATTCCTTTTCATGCCTTGCCTCAAGCCCCTCCCCACTATCAGATTCACATGTGAATTTGATGATGCATATAATGTGATAATGTCTCTGTTAGTTAGAATAGGTATATATGTTTTGGTTAGATTAGTCAAATGTAAATTAGTTCATATGATGTCATTTTTTGTAACACTCGTCTAATTGTTCATACATGATTAATTCATTCATTCAATTAATGAAAATTCTATAGAATAGAAGCTGTTTCAGTCAGTTATTTTCTTATGCAGCACTTTCTGTTTTAAGTAATTATTGTTTTTATGTTTATTTTCACTTTGCCACTACTCTTTGTAATGTGTTCTATCTTTTGATATTTGGATCATCGAATGTTTGTTTTCAGGGAATCTCTACTTTCCAGCTTTCCCATGTTGAATTTAAGCTTTGTGAAGATTTTGATGTGTTGTGTTTGCATGAGACCAAACAGCAGGCAAGTATTTTAGTTCTTGTTGTTCTTCACAAAGCTTAAGTTCTTGTCAATAATACAGTTAACGTCTTGTTGTTCTGCAATCATGTTTTATTATTCCGACATCATATCTTGACCTGTGATTGGCAAAGAAATAACTCACTATTTGGCTTCTGAAAACTATTCCCTTTTATTGTGAAGAAATGGAACAAATTGCTTCTTTTATTTTTTGTGTTTTAACATGATGGGCTATCTAAGGCTTAAAGTTCATTCTCAAGAACGCTCGCCTATGAACAAGAATGAGTTCTTTTTAGTAAATAATGCTGGATAACCTCTGTCCAATCTCTCTTTTATGGACAACCGTGTATCAAGTTTCTTCGCTACTGTCACTTAATGTAATTTTGAGCATTATATAAGAAAACAAAATTCTTTGGTAGATTTATTAAAAAATAAAAAGGTGATCTTGTAGTGTACTTTTATGTACAACCATGTATCAAGGTTTCAATTTTATAGCAATTTCAGCTACATTAGTGATTGATGACCAGAATAACGTTGGTGGCTTCACAGTAGCTCCAAGGAATTCGAGAAGTGGAGGAGCATTGGTCTCTCTTTTAGATTGTGAGCAAAACCCAAGCGGTCCCTTAATGACTCATATCGATTTCAATTACAACAAAGATGTTCAAAGGATCAATGGGAGCTGGTGCGTACAACCAGGTCAACTCCTCATAAACCTATTTTCTTGGTTATACTTATATATGTCATGTCTCTATGGCATCTGCACTGATTTTATTCATCATTTTTTGTGGGTAATTTGCAAATACTTTGTTATTATTTGATTGAATTTTTCAGGAAGAATGTGTCGAAAGCAATGAGTTTGAGATGTAGAGTGTCAAGTATGACCGACATGAGTCAAGGTAATGACAGTTCAGCAACTCAGAACAACCCTGAGGTAAACATTCCAAGTCCTAATTTTTTGTCAGTCAAATCGGACTGTTCCTTTTATCAAGTATATGGTATTGACCAATATGAAATGGTGACTTTGAGTTGTAAATGCTATGTTTACACAATGTCTTATAATGGTTTGAAACTTTAACTTTACTGCCAGGAACTTTGGGATCTCTGCCAAGTTCGTAAATGTGAGCTTGTCTCTGGCTTGAAGCAGCTTTCCCAAAGGGAAGATTATGATGCAGGTGTTTGCAATAGTCAAAACTACAGGCAAGGATTTTAGTTCTTATTTTCTTTTTAAAGATAAAATTCTTGCTGATAATACAGTCGACAAATTGATATTCTGCAATTACTTTTTATTACTATGATATCATATCCTGTTCTGTGATTGGCAAAGAAATAACTGACCCTTTGGCTTCTGAAATCCTTTGCCCTTTTACATGTTGAGCATTGATTGAATCTAACGCTTAAAAGTTCATTATCAAGAATGCTGACCTAAGAATAGGATTCAATTTTTGTGGCTAAACAAAGGTCAAATTTTTGTGTTTATTCAATACCTCTTTTATGTATAACCCATGTTTTAAGGTTGCTTTGCTGCTCGCACTTATATAATTATGATCAATTTATATGAAAAAAGAATTCCTTGGTGGAATTATACAAGAAATAGAAAGTGAGCTTTCAGTGTAATGCATGCCAGTTACTAGTAAGCATTCCCTACTTTGAACTCTTAGGTGGTTGGAAGATACCATGCAAGTTTGTTGTATGAGGTATATACTTTTGTTTTGGCCCCTGTTCTATGGTAGCAGCCACAATTTCAAAGATTTAGAATATTTGAAATGGGAATATCCTCATGTGTGTGTTTTAGAGCTGATATAGAATATTTCTTTCTAGCTAGGACAACCTTATGACATTAGAGTCCTTCTGAGATTGACTACAAGACATGTTTTGAGCCCTTCTTTCTGACAGCATATTGTGAAAAGGTTGCTGATAGTTATCCATGAGAATAGCTTCTGGGTATATGGTATTTGCAAGCTCGGTTATTCAGGAAGTGCGGTTATTTCTCGGGTATGTTGCATTCTTTTTTCTTACTGGCAGTTACGTGTGTTTAAGAAATCAAGCATTTAACTATCGTTGCTTGTTAAATGTACAACACTCAGCATTGTGCTTTGTTTTTGGGTAAAGCATTGTGGCTCTTTAATGTCCTGTAAAGTTCATTTTTGTGAAAATGCTTTAACCAAATGTAGAATCAAATGCGAAATGTCTTTTGATTGAAATGGCGGGGGATGTCGTTTGTTATTGCTGTAATGAGAAATCACAGACAGTTTGCAATGAAGAAGAGTTGGCAATGGAAGGTAGCACGAGCACAAGTAGTGATGGTAGCAGGAATTCGAGTTGCAGACACAAACGCTGATTATCATTTACCAGAGAAGAAGGATGATGAAGACTTTTAAGGCTTGGCTGAAATTAATTGTTTACATATTCTCCTTGTGAACTTTTGCTAAAGGTTGCTATTTTTTTATTGAGATCCTAAGATGAAGCGTGCATATGTATAAACTGTGATTACAGGCAAGTAATCTTTGGATGAATTTTCATGCTGAGCATTGATTGAATCTAAGGCTTGAAAGTTTATTCTCATAAACGCTTCTCTAAGAATAGGATTCCACTTTTGTTAGTAAACAGAGGTCAATTGTTTGTATTTATTTCAATCTCTCTTTAATGTATATTCCATGTTTCAATGTTGCTTTGCTACTCACACTTAAATAATTTTGATCAATTTATATTAAAAAGGAATTCCTTGGTGGAATTTATACAAGAAATAGAAGGTGACCCTTCAGTGTAATGTATGCCAATTACTAGTAAGCATTCCCTACTTTGAAGTCTTAGGTAGTTGGATCATACTGTGCATGTTTGAGGTCTGCAATCCGCTCTTTCGAAGATTTATTCTATTCAAAACTTTGGATAAATATCGTGATATGTGAGCAGGTGATATAAATATTTCTTTCTAGTTGGTACAACCAAGATAAATCTGACGACCTCTGTCCTTCTGAAATTAACTATGAGACGAGTTTTGAACCCTTCTTTATTATAGCACATTCTGTGAAAATTTAATATGTTTGGTACTAGGAGAATGATGTTGAAGATGAAAAGGTGTCTGATAGATGGCTATGAGAATTGCTTCTGGACACTTAGTGTTGGTTATTCAGGGACTGCGATTATTTCTCAGGTATGTTGCATTCTTTCTTCTTGAAGGCAGTTATTTCATGACTTCAGAAAGTTGGGCTTTTATTATTTCTGTTTGTTATAATGTATGACAGTCTTGATTTATGCCTGTATTGTGGATCTTTACTGTTATCTCCACTTAATGTTTAGTTTTGATCACCTATTTATTTGTGTGAATTTTTTTAACAAAATGTAGGTTCCAGCCCAATAGTGAACCAAAAAAATTGATAGAAGCCGATAAGTTTAATGAAATCTGGTCTCTAGGAAGTTCAAGAACATTTTAAAGGGAATGTGATTTTGAGGGTAGCTAATGAATGATATGTCTGCATCAAAATTGAGGGTAGCTAGTTTAGCCTTATCCCAGTTTGGAAATGTTTCAAGCAATGACTGCTTATTACTAAGAATGATATGGTTACGATTAATTATATCCATCCCTACTATCAATTGCTTCTTTATTTAAATGCCACTATTCATTTTTGCTTTTATAGTGCCATTTAAATTGGCTTTTGTCCTTTGACAGATAAAGCCATGTTCAGTCATACATGGCCTTTGCATACCAATCGTGATAGTGAGGGGCAGGTTGTAAGAGAAGAGTTTGATTCAGTGGATATGTTCCTAATTCTGGAGATGGTTTGAGAAGCTGGTAAATAATTTTAAGCCATTTGCAGATTTCGAGGATGTAGTATTAAAGATGCCTTGTTGACTAACAGTTATGTTTTCTTTTTTAGTAAAATAGGAGTACGGAGTAGGATCATCTCTCAGCAGTTGCATGACAGTAAGTGTACTCACATTTTCCCTTCTATTGGGGGACAAATACTCTTTGATTGATTCATTCAATGCATGAAGCAATTTTAAATGCTTATGAGCGCCTTCATTTTAGAAGCATCAACACGTACATAAAATGGGTGTAGCGGAGATGAGAATGCTTTGTTGGATGTGTGGGCACACGAGAAAGGATAAGATTAGGAATGAGGATATCCGAGGTAAAGTAGGAGTAGCCGAAATTGAAGGAAAGATGAGAGAAATTCGGTTACGGTGGTTTGGACATGTGAAACGAAGCTTACTCATGCTCTGGTTAGAAGATGCGATTACGGGACAGAGGTTCAGGGCCTGAAGGGTTAGAGGAAGACTTAGAAGGACTTTGGAAGAGACTCTAAGAAAAGAGTACTTGGATCTAACGGAAGACGTGACACAGAACTGAGTGCAATGGCGTTTTAGGATTCATATAGCCGACCCCACTTAATGGGAAAAGGCTTTGTTGTTGTTGTATGAGCTCTTTCATTTTAATTCAGGAGCTAGAAAAGTCAAAACCTGTCATTTTAAGGTTAAAACATTTGTCAGTTACGAGAACTTTTCTAGGAGAACAAGGGTGCCACAAAGAAGGAGAAGCTGTCAATTGAATCCGGTGAGGTTTCAGCCTTTCAGGTGCTGTGAATTCAGTGGATTCTCATAATTGAGTGTCCATTCATATGTTTTCCGGTCTAGGTTAAACATAATGAAGATGACTGGTTCTACTTGTACCGTTGTTATATGTCTAGGGGAGAAGCTTTTATAGACTTGGAGGACAGTGTCTTCAGAAATTATTAATACTAATGTCAAACTGATGATAATGCATCTGAACCATGGATGGTTTTTGCGCCCTCGAAACCTCAGAAAGATTGCTTTCCTTCCTTATAATCCAAGAAACATGAAGCTTATACTACTTACTAGGGATGCTAAATTTGTTAAGCTTATATTTTGGAATTTCAATGGTTAAGTGCATTACTGAAGTAAGAAGGATATTTTGCTTTGCAGCTCCACAAAAGGGAAGATTTTGATGTAATGTGTTTGCAGGAGACAGACCAGCAGGCAAGTATCACAGTTTTTATTTTTCAATTTTCCATTTATGCATACTCCAAGTATCAAGGTTTGCTTCCCTACTGCCACTCATCTAAGTTCAATCATCTTGTAAAAAAAAAAATATTCGTGGTTGAATTTATCAAAAAAATATAAGGTGATGTTTTAAGGTACTGCAATGCTTTACTGCGAAACCGCGAAATATTCATGTCAAGTACTAGCCAAGCATTCTGTGCTTGTAGCATATTGTGAAAAGGTCGCTGATAGTTATCTATGAGAATAGCTTCTGGATATGTAGTATTTGCAAGCTCGGTTATTCAGGAACTGCGATTATTTCTCGGGTATGTTGCATTCTTTTTTCTTACTGGCAGTTACGTGTGTTTAGGAAATCAAGCATTAACTAGCGTTGCTTGTTAAATGTATTACACTGTGCATTCTGGCTCTTTTTTTGGTAAAACATTGTGGCTCTTTAACCAAATGTAGGTCGAACGCGGAAAGTCTTTTGATTGAAATAGCAGGAGATGTCTTTTGTTAATGATGTAATGAGAAGTCACAGGCAATTCGCGACGAAGAAGAGATGGCAAGGTACCACGAACGCAAGTAATGACGGGAGCAGGAGATGGAGTTTGCAGACACGAACACTGATTATCATTTTCCAGAGAAGAACAATGCTGAAGACTTTTTGTGAACTTTTGTTACAGGTTTTCTATTTTTCGAGTTTCGTTGAGATCTTAAGATGTGGCGTGCATATGTATAAACTGTGATTACAGGCAAGTAATCTTCGGATGAAATATAACTAGATTTCATATTCTTTGTTCAATCTTTAATTTTTCAGCATCGTACGTAAGATCAACTCTACCCCTGATTCGATATTCAAAACCGAGAGACGAAGGATATTCTATGTTCCAATTCGAGCAAATTTTTCTCAATGACATTACCATAGAAGCCATCGCGATCACAATCCTTTCAGATATTATTAAGTACCTTCCAAAGTTTTGAGCATAAGCATACAAATTTTGTCAAAAATGAGGACTCGGTACAAAACATACCGAGTCCCGAATATCTTGTCTATACGGTGAAACTACAAGATGACAGCGCTTGGACAGTTTGGAAATGAAATAGACTCAAAGGGGTGTGGTATCAACGATGGCTTCTAAAATCTTCTTTTCCAGTTCTTGTTCATCGATCCACATGGAACTCTTGTGTCGCAGAAGTTCTTTCTCGTCTTTTTTCATCTCTTTTTTCAGTTTTTCCTTCATCTTCCAATTCTCAAGCTTCTCTGCTCTTTCTTTCAACTGTGCATTAAGACAAATCAAAACACGTAAGACAAGTGAAAGAAACATAGAAGCAGTGTCGAACAAGAAAAGAAAAAATAACCAGTTCTCTTTCCTTCCTCTCGACGACATTGATTGGATTTCAATCAAGTACAAAATTGTCATTTATTTATGTAACCCGCCAAGGTAGATTTGCATGCCACAATTAATCATGTGAATTTACATTAGATATTCAAAACTTGCGTACTTAACAAAGAACAGATTCCACATGTCCCTACCAAAACCACATCAAAGGAAGTTGCATCTGCAACTGATACACTTAATCTTTTCATCTAAGCGGTGAAATCTTGACTACACAAGGAGAGAGAGTTGGAAAAGCTTGAACCCCGTGTGCACTCTAAAAGGAGAACTCTACCAAGGAAACTGAAAACGGCGACTTCACCTTCTACCCCAAAGAAAACACCACTTTACCACACACCACTATGACTATATGTTCTTTAAATGATCAAGGAAATCTGACAATTGATACATTTAAGTTCACCCAAAATTTGTTAATCATCATTATTCACGTTATTACAGTATGAGCTCGGATTGTCAAACAAAAAATATGAAGACACCAGTATCAAATATTTTTTATAGTTCATGAAATCAATGACAACGAACATTTTCTTAAGTTTAAGTTGGTACAGGAATGGAAACTAAACGGATAACATTCTAAGATGCCAAACCAGAATTTCGATCAACACTTAACAAGGAAATTTATTAATTCTTGCAGAACATATTTCACCACTGAACATTTATAGACTATCAGCCTATTGTTCTAATCAAACACTAAGTTAAACACATTGATTTGGACTCAAAATCTGAGGACCTTAAAAGCTTTCTTTTTTTTTCCGTAAGAAACAATTTGTTAAAAGGAAAATGAAAGAGTACAAAACAGGGGTGAAATAGAAACATGAAATTAAACCTAAAACTATCTCAAGGTTTCCCAGGAATAAAAATCAATGTCTGGTTTTACTTTTTACGTAATGAACTTCGTTTTGAGATCAGGGTCAGAATGCACCATGCACGTTATCAATGAATAGACTGAAGTACTGTCCGAATAGTTGGATGCACAACAGCACAAATCAATCCATTATGAATGTCTTACTTGCTAATGCTTTTTATGGGTAAACATCTCAACATAAATAGAAAGACACTAACATATTAATCTATGCTAATTTCTAACTACAGGACCATTACTTATTGCCCTCAAATTTCATATCTTCTTAATCTGCATCTAAATTCAATAAAACGAGGAAAAAAAAACCTATCATCTAGCTTTTCTCCTATTAAATCTTCCCAATTTCTCCCAGAAAACAAACTGAAAAACCAAAAAACAAAGGATTCAAGTGTTCTCATTTTTTTTTCGTCTTTCCATCCACAAAACTGATAATCAAAAGTTCAAAACGAAATGGAAGATTTGAATTTGAAGCAAACACAAACCCACTGAATAATGTTTTGACTCAACGCCAAACTCAAATGATGTACTTTTCCCTTTTTCATATTTTCTCTGAAACTTAACCAATTCAAATTCTACTCTGCCCTCCCATTTGCACATGACAACCCCTAAAAAGAAAACCCAGATCCTAGATTTCAAAATCAATTCAAAACCCATAAACTCCATTTCACACACTCTCAGAAACCAAACACCGGAGCAAAATCAAAATCAGAGAAAAATCAGATTGCACATACCAGCGTTTGCCGGAACTCCTGCTCGGCAACCTCGCGCTGTTGGGCGCGGACCTTTGCAGCCTCCACCTTGAGCCTCTTGCGCTCCTCGTTCTGAAGCCTAAGGGCTTCTTTACGAGCCTCGTCCTTGCGAAGCTTATCAAGCCTCATGAGCTCGACCTCCTTGATGTACTCCTTGCAGACCTCCTTGACCTGCTTGGCATAGTCTCGGCGGAGCTGTGCAAGCTTGGCCTCCGCCTCCTTGGGGTCCTTCGGGGCCTCCCAACACCCAATGAAGGAATTGGGTTCCGTGTACTGGTGGTTCTGCTGGTGGCTATTGTGATGCGTTGGCTTTGTGTTTGTGGAGAACGACCGCAGGCACAGTGTGCGGTACAATGAGCGAGAGGTGGTTGCCATTTTTGTGTGCTTTGTCACTGTTGAGAGCATAGTTAGTTAAAAATACACATCTGTATGTATTTTTTTAAAATATGCCTGTATTTGGTATGGTTCAAAAGACATGAAAAGAAATCACAATTTCTTCAGCTCAAATGTATAATACTGTATTATACAACTTAAAAAAGGGCAACAAACTGGGAAAATAAAATCAAATTGGAACACTACATCATTATATAGATATGAAGAGACTAACCTGCAAATGAAATGCTGTTGAGTCCTGCAGAATAAAGAACAAACTATTATAAGCATGCATTTGATGGTATTAAAAATCAACTAATAATTTAGGTAATTAGCTGACTGAAGTTGCTTTAAAAATCCAAACTTTATGACCTGAATGTTGAATATTCTAGAATCTACATGACAGTATAGCTAATATACAGATTAATTAACTTAATTTCATTAGCAGAAATCTAAGAGTTTTAGGGTTTCAGCCACAAATTCGTAAGAAATTTGATGACATTTGGTACACACTCATACATATTAAGGAACAAATTGACTAAAAATTGATTATGTTAGAAACTTTTCAAAGCCCAACAAGAAAAAACCTAAATTGATATGAAACCCTAGAAAAATACCACCAAATCACAGCTCAAACTTGACAAAAATCATGATCAAAACTTAAAATGAAACAAAAACCCCCAACAGATTTTAACCCATAAAATAACTGCGTGAGAGAGTGAGAGAGTGAGAGCAATCATATGAGAGAGTGGAAGAGAGAAAGAGAGCTCTGGAGAGGGAGAGGTTCACCTGAGTGCGTGTCTGTGTGAGCAGAGCTCGGTCGCAAACCAGGAAGCGCTTGAAAGCGCGGAGTACCAGACGAGGCCTGGATTATATTGGGCTAATCACATAGAAATCTTGGCTTGGGCACCCCTTTTTTAGGCATACTATTATAAACATTTTGTTTTTACTTTAAAATGAAAAAAAAAAAAAAGGAAAAAAAAAGAAATTTGTTTGAATGCTATTTTCGTTTCTCAGTTAAAAATATTAAAAAAAAAAAAAAAGTAGTCAAAGTTAATTTTAAAAATTCAAAAACAGCATTTTTGTTATGAAATGTGGTGTGAATGTCACACATGTGTTTATGTAAGAAAGCTAACCAAAGTAGACTTTGGTGAAAGTCATTAAATGCATTAAATGAAAATGTCATAGAAAGGTGAAATATTTTCTTTTTGTATGTAAGAAGTTATCGGATCAAACTCCTATAAATAGAGGCATATCTGTAACTTCATTACAACACACCAGATCAAGAGAGAAAGCAATAATACTATTATCCCCCTCATCTCTTATCTATCTTTGTGTGATACATTACACCTGCTCTGCTTCTATCTCTAGCAAATGTTATCTCTCTCACTTTTACCTATTTATAACAGTTTTTAATTGGTTTCATTTTTTGTAAACTGAAAGTAGTTAGCAAGATGAGACTTACTAGCATAAAACATACTAGATTGCTTGGCTCTAAGATGGGTGTGGATGTAAATTTCCACCTCAGAGCGATCAGTTAGTCTCAGTTCTTATCGACTCAATTAAGACGTGCTATATTCTTTAAAGAACTTACAACCAACAAAATGTTGGCAATGTGCCCTAAAGTCAATTATATGATGATACTTTACGAACATTTCATATGTTAAACTAATCTAGTTTAATATAAAAGGCAAAAATTATTATTTGAAGCCGTCTCATATAAATGTTATATGCTTAAACGATAAGTCCAAGGAAAATGTAATTGGGAGAATGTGATCTAAAGAAGTTAGATTCATGAGACCATTCTCTTTCGTATACCTATTCTAAATGTTCCTGATAATAGGATTGCCAATTGAGCATTGACAATTCGTTAAGATTAGTACGTGCTATGTCTTATCTTAAAGACAGTAACTGGTCTCGAGTCATTGGTGTGACTCACATCAAGACAAGCATGTAGGTGCTCAATAGAGAATGAGTCCACTGAACGTGATCACCAAGGAGTTCTTATACTCATGTCACATGAAAACTCATGGTTGGGATAATGCAAAGTAGTCCTTTGACCTGAGGCATCATAGTTGTCTTATGGTTAGGTTCTTGATCTTTGACTATGTCAAAGTCACTCCGTCAAAGGGTGTCCACGACATAGTTGGGGTTAAGTCACTTAGCCGTGGAGGCAAGTAAATGCACAACAAGGGATCTCTAACCTTCAAACCGTTTAAGGAGAATACTCTATGATGTGATTAAGAATCTCTGGCCAGAGTATGAATGAGATTTATGAATTCATTCTAAATCCCATTGGATAGTAAACATGAATAAACTATCAAATCAAACAATGTGATCAAGAGTATTGTATTAGAGAAAAACTGTATTGCATTCTAATCTCAAACTGAATAGGTTCTCCACCATTTCTGATTAGTTTGGGTAGTCATGACATACTGTTAGGTGTCACTCATAGTTTGTGGAAGCCCTAAAGGTGTATAATCACTAAAGGGAGAATTGAAAAGTAAGTTTCAATTCACAATCAATTTGAAGAGTTCTAATCGCCCATTGCCTCGCTAAAAGGAACCTAAGGATCATACACCGTGTAAGGTAGAGATTGAAGAAACAACAGAGATGAGTAAGGATAATTAAATGGTTTAATTATTTATGGTTAGGATTAATTAATATGTTAATTAATCAAACAAATAAGTTCGTTTTAGACCTCGGGGCCCAATCAGTTTCGAATGTCAAGTCCAATAACTCAAGTTGTATAACAACTTGAAAACACAAAGGGCATGAAAGCCCAATGAACCCACATGGCCGGCCATAGAGAGTGTGAGGGAGAATTGGTTTTAATTTCAATTATGCCACTCAATGTAAGTGACTATAGAAAGGAAATTATAACCCATTCCCTCATAAGGGTTTTCTAGAGAGAAAAGAGAAAAACACAAAAAGGCTTTCTCTTTTCTTAGAAGGCCGGCCACCCTAGGAAGTATGGACTAGTATCCATTTCTTCCTAGGTCACTCATCACTTCCTCAATGCTCTCCTTGGTGTGGAAACTTAAAGGTTCCCTTTCTTGGGAACTTGGAGAATCCATTCCTTCATCCATATCCAAGAAGTCATGGAGCCAAGAAGCAAAGTTCCTCCATCCGCATCCATGGAGCCAAGAAGCAAGGAGACTAAGGAAAGAAGGCCCTCACATGGGTGAATATCCTTTGCTAAGCAAAGAGGTGGTTCAAAAGTATAAAAGTTTCTCAACTCTTTCCTTTAAGATTTGAGTTGAGCCTTGGTTCACCACAACTACTAGGCCTTAATTTCATAGGTGAAATTTTGTTTTTGAGTGCATAAAAGCATGATTCCGCTTTTAATTGTTAATTGTATGCATAGATGTTGCTCAAATGAACTTGTCATCACAAATTATTCCTTCACAAAACGAAGTTAATGAGACAACACATCGTTGTCTGCCAAAAGATCTTTGATGCCTAGGTCATTAACGTTAAAGACAAAAATACCCTCATGCGGGTTTGGGGTACATTCTTAACAAATTAGCCAAATAAGAATATCAAGATCATTGGGCCTTGCGTGGCAACTACATTCAAAACCTAGTACATTAGACCTTGCGTATAATCCTAATGGCAAGTGGGGCAAGACAACTATAAATAATCTCGGGCTAGGTCTCAGCTCATTATTGGAGTTTTTCCCTAAAAATCAATTTCGTAATATAGGATATTAAGTAACAACTTCATATTAATTAATAAATAAATGGGCAAGATTTATTCATTCATGAGTTTGGCTTTATATTATAGAGATAATCTACTATGAATGTGTCCATATAATTTAAGGTAGGAAGCAATATCCGAAACGAGGTTTGGGTAGGGAGACTTGTATTCCATAGTCACTTAGTCTTTAAATAAACTTCCTAGCCATTTGGAAAGTCAACTGGACATTGACTATCTAGAAAGCCCGGTGTAAATCACATTAAGATTAGCATGGTCTCATGCTACGTGTGTTAGACACGTGGTGAATATACATGTACTTGTCTGTTGAACAAGTTCACTAAACACTGACGTCCAAGAAGCTTAAACATATGAATGCTTACCACATGTCAAACGTTACAAAGCTTTTAGTTGCAGTATGCAAATAGTTCTTAAACCTGAGGCATCATAGGTATCTTATATTAGTAGATGTGAACTTTGATTTTACTCGCAGGGCCCAATAATGTGATATTCAGGTCTATATGTATGAATATGAAGATACATGAATGCGCAAGAAGGAATCTATTACCTTCTAGTAATGTTCAATAGAAGAAGATATCCTTCAAAGCCCCTTGAAGATCCATCTCAAAAGTCTTCGGTCGAAGTACTTGTTGATAAGCTATGATTGTCAAAATTGCTTCAACATGAGATGCATCATTTCGATCATAGATTACTACATGTGATTTGACATAAATCCATATCTCATACATCTTAATTGGGATATGAATGATAGAAGAATCGAATTGCATTGTAACTACAATCAAGGTTCGATAAAGTATCATGACTTGTTTGCGTTGTTGGAAATGTGCCTTAAAGCCGTTCATATGATGATACTTTAAGGACATTTCACATGTTAAACTAAACTAGTTTAATATAAGGGCAAATATTATTGTTTAAAGCTGTCTCATATAAATGTAATATGCTTAAATAATAAGTCCTATGAATATGTAATTTGGAGAATTTGATCTGAAGAAGTTAAACTCGTGAGACCATTCTCTCTCGTACACATTTCTTAAACGTTTTAGATCATCAGATTGCCAATTGAGCATTGATGATTTGGTACTTGCTATGTCTTCTTTCTGTGAGAGTGACTAGTCTCGAGTAATTAGTGTGATTGACATCAAGACAAGTATGTAGGTGCTCATTAGAGAATGAGTCCATTGAATGTGATCAAATAGGGGTTCTCATACTTATGTCACATGAGAGCTCATAATTGGGATAATGCAAAGTAGTCATTTAACTTGATGCATCATAGTTGTCTTGTGTTTCGGTCCTTGATCTTAGACTATATTAAAGGCACTCCATCAGGGTATCCATGACATATTTATGGTTAAGTCACTTAACCTTAGAGGCATGTCATGCCTCGGACCCAGGGTCGGTGGAAAAATTAACCCCACACTCGGCGCGCGAGTACAAATAAAAATAAAACGAAAAACTAAACTTCTCTTATAAAAGTAACTTCAATATCTTTACAGGGTGTACAAAAATAAATAAAATCCCTTAAATCTCTCTTCTAATACAACCTTAGTTTGTCTATCCTTAGTTAATTTTGTACTGAACCTGCAAGGTCTAAAATGTATAGAGTGAGCGAAGCCACAGCTTAATAGGGACTTAAGTCTTACCAAAGAAAATTATCAAGGCTAAACCAAGTGTTAGGCAATACGTAATCAATTACATCATGTCAAAAAATATCAACAACATAAATTATATTTCACGAATGCAGCCTAACTTCAAATAACCAACTTGTTAATCTATATAATTAAACATGTGGCCCTGCACGTCCCACAACATGCATTTTACTACTGCAGTGGTGATCTGAATGCTCTATTACACAAACTAACCCTGTAACTTAATCATCCCAATTTTCCCATTTTGTTGGTCATCTTGTTCTTCTCTCAGTTGCCAGAGTCCCCACTACTTCATACCATTCCTATAATTTCACGTTTGCCACGCTTGTTGGTATCTACTAGAGTCAAACTCAGCCACACAAAAATATATTTTCATTTCCATATCCTAATCTCAAATATTCCAATAAATTCCATCCGCTCCAATATGAATGATATACGCACATAATCAACATTATCATAATAACCACATTATTGAAAATAACAATAATCAAGGTTCTAAAAAACACTAGACACTAGTCGGGCGGCGGGCTAGCGCTTAGCGCCTAGGCGGTCTAGGCGGATTTAGGTAAATTTCTTGTATATCTTGTAAATAAGTGCATATTGACACTTATAAAAAAATTATACTTGTATGAAATCCATGGATAAGATAACAAAAGAATTATAAAATGCAAAAAGAGTATCCAACAAGTCCAAAATTTAAAAACACATTAAGCATATATGCCGTATAACCATAGTGAGGAGTATTGTAGGATGATACATGTACAATAAGTTCACAATTTAAAACAACAAAAAATGGAAAATAAGGAAATTTAGTAATGTAAGATACTTATCTTTAGCATCCTGGAATTTAAGTTGATACACAACACACCTATTCTATAAAATTAACAAAATTTCAAGGTATAATTAGAACTTAGATTTTAAACAAATTTCCAAAAAAAAAGAAAAAAGAAAAAAAAAGCCACCCAACCGTCTAGAGCCACCCTGATTTTTCTAGCCGTTTTGCACAAAATCGCCTAGATTCCAAGGCGCTGGCTAGGGTGTTTTTTAGAACAGTGACAATAATACATCAGTGTTCCAATACAAAACTGTTATATCAGTTATAAGCATAATAAGTATAACATATATTTCACAAAGCTTAAACAAGACAAATATCCCATGGTGATAAGTTTCCAAGGAACCCATACCCTGATTCCAAAGCCAAAACAAAGATCCACGTCATTACCGCAATAGCTAGGCTCCACGTACTTGAGCAAGCTCCTTGATCACTTCTAACACCAAGTCTTCCACTCTTTCTTATTTTCCAACCTCTCTCTATGCACATGTGTGTATGCAAACTGCGTGAACCCCAGAGCATACACTATATGTGAGCTCGTGAAGGGAAACAAATGGAGCTTAGCTCTTATTTATAGGGACATAAAAGGTGGCATAACTAGTGTTTTATGGCAGCTAAGATGAGATAAGAATGCATTTGATGAATGATATGTTGACAAATGACTTCCAGGTGCCATTGTGCATGAGATAAATAACTTGGCTTTAACTAGTGGCTTGTAAACAATGGTGGAAGGTGGAGGTGTCAACTTAGTTACGGAAGAAGGAACTAATAACGTGACAGGTGATTAGGTGATAATGCTTATGGTTAAGTTGGAGTGTCATGATATTAGGAAATGGCGGCAGCAAAGGTCTCTTCTAATAATGATCATGCAAAAGTACTTTCATAATAAATGCATTAACATATCTAACTAGAAGTAATATAAATACTACTATACAACAAAGCATAAGCTAATATGTAGATAATATTAAAATACAGGTTCTCACAAAGCAGGTGAATGCACAACAAGGAATCTTTAATCTTCAAATCGTTGAGGGGAATACTTTATGATATGATTGAATCTATGGCTAGAGTATGAATGGGATTTAAAAAGTCGTTCCAAATTACATTCAATGTAATCCTATAAGTAAGAGAATTACACTGGATAGTAAACATGAATAAACTATCAAATCAAACTATGTGGTCAAGAGTATTGTATTACTTCTCACGTTTCTCCTTAGTCTACGGGTTTTTCATCTACTTTGGGTTTTACCATAACAAGTTTGTGAGTTCTACTACCAATGCATGCTTTCATTAATTTGAGACTCGCATTCGCCCGTTGTGTTGATGACTTCATAAGCTGATCTACTTCATCCATTGAAGACCTGATGCGATGTTTTGTTTGAGTATTTACACACTCAAGGATGAGTATTGTAGTCCTATTAGATTAATAATGTAATCACGTAAATCTATCGTATCTTAGGATATCTTTGTGGGATTCTATAATATCTCTTAGATTAGATATTAAGGACTATTATTAGCACTCCAAAATCTCATTCTACACTCCTCGTAAGTGTATTTTTTTTTTTAATTATAGAAAGTTTGGAGTGTAAAAGTAAGATTTTTGGAGTGCCAATAACAATTTTCTGATATTATCGTATAAGAGTTGTAATCCTATTGGGGTAAGGAATTTACCTTCCCTATATAAATAGAAGCACAATGGGGTGAGTTAACTCACACCTCATAATCACACATCTCTTTCTTGACGATGCACCCTTTCTCTCTTTGTTTTTTATATTGTTTAGTTAAATCGGCCTAAAATAGTACATTAATTATTATGATTTTTTATTTATTTTGAACTACTAAAACCAATGTTCACGAGGGTTCAGAGGGGTAAAAATCCAAACGACAATGCACTATCGTTGAAATGTAGAGAATGCAATCGCAAGTGTTTAAATATTTTTTTAACATTTTTCACACTTGTCAAATTAAATATTGTAAATATTTTATTGTATTCTAGTATTTTGTAAGAAGAATCAAATTACCTTAAAAAAATTCATAATAAGCGGCCAAAGTTGACCACCCTTGATCGTTGATCGCTGTTGAGTGTTATTTTTTGAATAAATGATATTATCTACATTAATAAGGTGGGAGAGTGAACAAAGTCTTACAATGAGTTAGTAATAATGTGGTTCAAATTTGTCTTTGGCGAGAATCAAACCTAAGACCTCTTAGTCTCACTTACAAGTGAAGAAGAATATTACTAGACTATAGTACTAAGTGACAAAAAGAATGAAGAAAGTTGAGGTTCCACTGTAAAGTCAATTGACAATATAGGAAGTAATCCTATGACTATTGTAGTAAAGTTTTTCTAGCAATTAAAAGTTACTAAAATAAACTTCTTCTTAACGAGTGAAAATTACCCTTGAGACTTGATTAGTTAACATGTTAACTCGAAAACCGTTATTCTCGTACCGTTTCGTGTTAGGTTAACGAACCCAAACCATGTGGTTTAAAATTACATTTAACCCAAAATAAAACATCATCAAAATGATGACGTGGATGAGAATGGAAGGAGTCTAGTAAGAATGATGAGTTGGCAGCGCACTACTGGTGCAATGACGGCGTGAAGAAACGTAACTGGACAGTCATGAGTCATTATTTTGACGGGTCTAAACGCAGACTTTCAATAAAAGACTGCAAAGAAATTATTCAGATCATCGGGGGGAGAGAGAGAGCCATGGCCGCTCGAAAGCGAGCTTCAACAGAGTCGTCGGCACAACCCAAACCAAACGAGACCGCCGCACGGACCAAACCCCAGGAACCCACATTAGCAGAGCCGCCGATTGCACCACCAAAGTCAGGCCTAATTCTGAAGCTCGTGCTCTTCTTCTCAGTCCCATACTTTTACCTCCTCTTCTACCACTACAAGATCGAACAAGAGCTTCGCAAATCGATTCTCATCAATGCGGGTCTCAGCCTTGCCGGGTTCTTCGTCACCGTTAAGATGATCCCCGTCGCTTCCAGATACGTTCTCCGGCGCAACCTCTTTGGCTACGATATTAACAAGAAGGGTACCCCTCAGGGTACTGTCAAAGTGTGAGTATTTTTTTCCATTTTTTTGCTATATTATTCATTTGTTGAAATTATGAAGTGGGTAGTTGAAATTATGAGGTGGGTATGTACTAGAATTAGTTTTTAGTTGAATTCATGAACTGGGTATATGTTTGTTACCTTAAGCATTTCGCCAGGGCAGTGAATCCGGCATGTTGCATTCTAAATATCCATCTCAAATGTTTTGTGTTTTCGAATCTTTGGAGCTCATTGCTTAGACTGTTGGTTATGAAGGCTTTAATTAAATATGAAAGTCCAAATATTTGACAATTGAGTGCACAGTGATTGCTATCATAGTTTTGTATTTGGTTTTTCCCTTTTGATTCGCGATTAATTGACATAAGGTTGGTTCCGGAAATATGAATTGTGTATTGGAGAAGATCCTTTTTTACTTTCCAAATACATTGTCATGTATATTGATCTGATGCCTCATACTCTGGACGTATTTTCATTTTGATAATTATGGTTCCATTATGTATTTTCCAGGCCTGAGTCACTGGGTATTGTTGTTGGAATTGTCTTCTTGGTCTTGGGAATCTTGTTTCAGTATTTTAACTTCACTGCAGATTCAAATGTAAGGGTGCTATCTTTCATTGAACTCAGGAACATACATTTCATTTCAGCTTATTACTTCTGCCACTGCTTGTAGCTCGAAGATGAAACTTATAGATCTTGGTGACATGAGACATTTTATTTTCGTTTGTTCTGTATCTTTGTCTACTTGTTTAATGTAGTTATTTGCATAATTAGGGTTGTGAGTGAAGGAACTATTGCTTCTTAGGAACCCAATGGGCAGGGAGAGAAATATGAGTGCATACTAAGACCATCGTCATTCTATATGCTTGCCGGAATAGGCCTGCCTTTGGTAAATGGTGGTGTTATGGTGCAATCGAAGTAGGCTTAGTATTGTAGAGATTGTCATTAGTTTGGTGATGTAAAAGTGTTCTAGAGGGAATGTCCTGGGCTCAACTAGAGGCCTAGGAAGAATTTATAAATATGGCAGTTCTGGTAGATAGCATCTCAGAATAATTAACGTTAAGAGTTTTTCTTAGTTATCTGATTTTTTTTTTTAATTAGAAAGAAGAGTAAAAGAGAAAGAAAAAGGATATTAATGTGACAAATTTGGAAGTTAGCTTGATTAAACCCTAAATACATGGGGTTTTAAATTTGGTCCTTGGCCATTGCCTTATGGCCTTAGGAAGAGCTGGAGCAAAATGACTCAGAACAGCTGACAACCCCATCTGAACACCATACAAGTGCTGAAACTTCCTCTAGCCTCTGGGTTGTTGCCGCAGCCACATAGTAAGGCAATGGGTTGGAGTGGAAAATCTTTGAAATCCAGAAGCTTGTGAGGCTTAAGCCTCTAACTCTTTCAGACAAAGGCACAACAAAGCATACAATTCACCAAAAAGCAATACACCTTTAGGAGGCAGCTTTTGAAACACTGGGAGAGAGAGGTCTTTATTCTGTGACATCAGCTTTGAAGGCTTCTTGTATTTTACTTTGTGTTTGCAAATTGTGACTGTATGTTTTGGTGATGGACGACTAAATTGTTAAATATGTGAATCATGCAGTGGCTTGTCGAATACAATGCAGCATTAGCATCCATATGCTTTATGGTATTGCTTGGATTTGTAGATGATGTTCTTGATGTACCTTGGAGGGTGTGAGTATCCGGTCACTATTCTAGATTTTATACCACTTAATGCATTTTATACAGCTTTCCAGATTAATGCTATATTTTATTCCTGTGTGCTTTCTTGTAATTGTGAAGAACAGGAAATTAGTTCTGCCATCCGTTGCAGCTCTACCACTGCTGATGGCCTATGCTGGACATACAACTATTGTCATACCTAAGCCTCTTGTTCCGTATACTGGGCTTGAGGTTTTGGACCTAGGTATTCTCGCAATATAGTTACTAACTCCAATACAGTTACTTTCGCTATACACCCCCCGCCCTCCCTCTCTCCCCCTCTCCCTCGGTTACACACCCCCACTAAGGATGCTAGATTTGGTTCTTTAATTTTCCCTCATGTAAATGTAGTGAGATGCCATCAGTTTTGCAAAATGTAAATGATATAATTTGTTCAAAGTGTATATATTGCTGGGGGAATATGTATATCTCTAAATATTGAGCATGTAAAAGTGTGCCCTAGGAGGTAACCACGTACTTAGCAATTCTGAATTCCAAGGAATCACACCAATTATTAGCATTTGCACTTATGGATGACAAGGAACAGAGTTCATGTCATTGGTCCAAGTGATACTCATCACATGCCCTTAGTACATTTTGTAATTTTAATTTCTCTGCTTATATAGCCAACTTGTCTTGGAAATGATTTACTATATAAAAGACTTGGCGTTTTTCTATTTATCTAATCTGACTCTATATAATTTTTTTTTTTAAAATGTAATGGAAGTTATGTAATTTATTTTATCTTAACAATCATAATTATCATTCACTGGCATGAATATTGACTATAAATTAGCATCAAACCGAGTCACTAGGATGCAACTGGCAAACAGAGGCATAGGGAAACTTTCATATTTCTGTTTTGTGTTTGAAATTTGTATATCACAATACAAATTTGAGAAAACAATAGACAAAATTATCATAGAACAAGGTAGCAATTGAAATTATCTATTTATATGCAGTCATATCCAAAAAATTTACCACGCTCGTATATTAACAAATGGATTCTTATCCTTTCATAAATATGTTCCTCTTTGATGTGAAGGATGGATTTATAAACTATACATGGGACTTTTGGCGGTTTTCTGCACAAACTCCATAAATATTCATGCTGGCTTGAATGGTCTTGAAGTTGGGCAGACGGTTGTTATTGCAGCTGCTGTAAGTATACAGACTTATGAAACAGTTGCAGTTCAACTCTATTTTGAAAATGACACATGTGACTGATCGCAGGTTTTAATACATAATATCATGCAAATCGGGGCATCTGCAGATTCGGAGTATAAGATGGCACATGCATTCTCTATATATCTTATCCAACCCTTATTAGCCACCTCTTTGGGATTGCTCTCTTACAACTGGTGACACTGCTTGTTGAATTTATTTACTGAGTTGCCTATGCTTATGGCTTTCTTCTTGCATCAGACATTAACATTTTCCTTTATCTTTAATATAGGTATCCTTCTTCAGCTTTTGTTGGAGATACTTACACATATTTTGCTGGGATGACAATGGCTGTAGCTGGGATTTTAGGCCATTTTAGGTTAGTTCTCCATTATCTTTAAATTTCACAATTGAATTATCAATACAAATGATATGTGGACCTAATTGCTTAATTTTATTGTGGCTTGCCTTACCATGGGAAGTCCTTAATTTTCTAACTGGAACTCACAATCATACATCACTAAAAGAACTAGGGTAAATTCCTTCTTTTTTTTATCCTTCAAATCTGTGGCATAGCTGGAAGGTCAAAATTCAGCTCTCTTGTTTCAATTAATAATTCTCATTTTTATTTTTATTTTTATGCAAATATGGTTGTTTCTGCTTTTGCTTAACCTTTAAAATCTCATATCAGACAGGTCAGTTTTCCTCTGATGTTTACTCGTAACACTAAGCTGTTTTTTGACTGAGAAATACAGTAAGATGTTTTTTGATCAAAAAAACAGTAAGATGTTTAAGAACTAAACCTTAAGCTGTAGTACTTAGATGCAATTTATCAGAAAATAATGTGGATCTTACCATGACCACCTTTTAGCTAAACAGAAAAAGTATTAAGTACTAGCATTGAATGAGGGCTCAAATTATAATTCTCATGAGCTGACCCCACAGAGTGTAGTACAAATTAACAATATACACCTTATGCAACGAGGCTGTTTCTTTCCTCATACGTACTTTTTGTCCACTACTATCTAGCATACTCATACAGTCGCCTGATGGTAAACTCTTCTTTCTAATTTTGTTTCAGCGAAACACTCCTGATTTTCTTTGCACCTCAAGTATTGAACTTTCTCTTGTCAGTGCCCCAGGTTTGGCTCATCTCTCTCTTTCCCTCACTCTCTCTCTCTCTCTCTCTCTCTCTCACACACACACACACACACACACACACACACACACACACACACACAGAGTCACCCACGTGTCATCTGAAATTCATGACATGTAAAGCATCTTATACTGTTTTGTTTTTTCAGCTTGCTGGAATTGTTCCATGTCCTCGGCATCGTCTGCCTAGGTAAGTTTGTATAAATTTTAACAGACGGTTTGGAAATCGCTGGAAGCATCTTATGGGAATGATTGTTAAATATCTCATGTGTCTTTTTACTTCAGGTTTGATCCTGAAACTGGACTGCTGACTGGGACAAAGGATGGGACGGTTGTAAACCTTTTTCTAAGACGATTTGGCAGGATGACAGAGAAGTCACTTTGCGTCTCTCTTCTAGTTTTCCAGGTGATTATTCATGTTACTTTTGCCTATAACTGCATTTTTAGGCAAATTAAGGAAAGATCCAGCTGAACTACTTTTAATCCTTCCAGTGCATATGAGTGTTTCCCATTTTTGGGAACAAAGTGATTCTGTTGGCATGAATCATGATTATGTCGTGTCAGTGCGTCCCCTTACAAGTTGATCCAGCTGAACTACCCATATAAGTTTACAACATACCCAACTAAACATTGTAATATACCATGAATATGTTTCTCAGATTTATTTGGAGAATCAGGTACTAAGAAGCCCACACAGTGGCTTAAGTCTTGGTAGATTGCTTTAAACAAAATGCATTCATCTCTTAAAAACGGGGTTTTGGTGGCTTTTGGCTCCAGGTGGAACCTTATGGACGGTTAGCCTGGTGTCAGAAGATAATGCATATTCTTTGTAGTATTGGTGTCAGAAGATAATGCATATCCTTTGTAGTATTGTTGGGTTAGAGTTCAGTTTTAATCTGTTCTCTGGGCTTCAGTTTTGGAGGAATTTCATTTGGGCGAAAGGTGGCTACTTTCTAGTTGGTCTTAGGTCCTTTACGAGCTCCGTTGAGTTGGTTGTTTTCTCCATGCTTTTGTCGTGTTTTGTTGGCTGGGGTGGTCTTGATCACCAATTTTGTTTCTTCTCTTTGGGTTCACATGCATACTTGCTTTTTTAACAGCGTTATTTGTAAGTTTCTCATTTGTTGAACGCCTTCATGCAACAGGCTATGGCATGCTGCTTCTGTTTCCTGCTGAGGTATTTTCTTGCTGGCTGGTACAAATGAGGTGGAAAAGATGAAAGTAACTTCGAGCTAATCATATTAACACGCGCATTTGATTACCGGGGGTGGAAGCATGTTGTACCGTATCATGTCCTGCAGGCGGGTTGATGGCAGGGATGCTAGAGAGAACATCTTTTGATTAAAATACAAATGACTAGTTTGAAGTTTTGACATCCTTAAGATGGTTGATTCCAACTTATATTTGTTTATAGTATCTTAAACAAAGAGGAGTGTTAAATTTAGACATACAAAATTTGTATTTTTGGCACTTGAAGTTCAGGATGAGAAAATCAAACTTCACTCGAAGTTTATTCGGAAAAAGATTATCGGTGATGCGGGTCGCATGCACTGTTTGCCTGCAGCTTGTAGTGATTGTTTAACGAAAGGAAAGCTTTACATCCATGTCCAAAACTAGCCTAGTGCCGATAAAAAATTCACGAAAAACACAGGAAACCATAAGACACGCCAATGTTTTATGAGTTCAGCTAAAACAGAAGGAATTAATCTGTAAGCCTGTAATAGGGAGACATCAAGGAAACAATAGGCATACCGAACAATCAAGCCTTCAACGTTACATAACAATCGAGTAATCGAAGGCAATGTACAAGAACAGGGAGGATTTTGACTCGAACAAATCCCTCTTTCAAATGGGTTCCTGCACAATTAAAAATAATGTTGAACACCAATATCTGCCAGTTAGCCAGGGTTCTGTCTCAAGACAGTAGAAGAAGCATTGTACAGAAGTTTTAGCTTGGACGAAACTCTCACTATAATCCATGTATCCCCAAGTAACCCGCCAACCCTTTTTCTTTCGAAAGTCTATCTAGAACTGAGCAGGTCCTAATCCACATCCATTGCCTGATCTTTGTAATTTGTACTGGAATCCACATCCATTGCCTGATCCTTCTAACTTGTACTGTAATCCACATCCATTGCCTGAATTTTCTCATTGCTACTGCTGGACCACAGTTTCATAGTTCGGTCAAGTGATACAGTAGCAATTTGATGCCCGTCTGCTATCAACAACATTAGTTCGGAAATTAATCCAGAAACTAGCTTTCCAGCACAACAATTAGATAACTAGTCAACCCAAAACGTACCCGAGTGGGTTAAAAAGGTACTCTTATTTAAGAAATTATTAAAAAGCAGAAGCAGGTCAATAAGAGCTTTTAGAAACAAGTTAATTCCAAACAAAACCCAAGAAGGTAAGAAAATCAAGAAGAAAAAAAAAAAAAAAAAAAAAAAGAACTGTGGGTGCAGTTACAGGGTCTACGAGACAAAATTCAAATGGCTAAGTGGCACAGAGATATTTGTAGACATCGAAATTTCGGTGAAACAAATGTTCACCAATGTATTAAAGTTTTGACGTGTCAGGGCATACATGGCATACGCCACGTGTCGTACAAATTGTACACATGGCATATGACTCAACAAAATAGGAAGAAATACCCTTGGATGATTAAACAAGTTTTTCTTCTCAATTTGGGCAATGACAAGGTAAGCACATTTCAATCCATTACGGATCAAAGCAAGTTTTTCTTATTTGGGCAATGACAAAGCAAGCACATTTCAAGTTTAAAATTGTATTAAGTGGGAAATTAGGCCATAAATAAGACCACTTCAATTTCAATATTGCATTAAGTGGAAAGTTAGGTCATTTGTTAGACCACTTCAATTTCAATATTGTATTAAGTGGGAAATTAGGCCATAAAGAAGAACACTTCAATTTCAATATTGCATTAAGTGGGAAAATTAGGTAATAGTGCTTGGGTGGGAAAATTTTGTGGTGGTGATTCACTATCAAAGCCTATAAATAGGCTTCTCCATCAAGAGGAAAAAACACCAATTCACAAATACATTTCTCTACACACCAAAACCTTGAAGCCTTAAAGTTCTAAAGCTCAAAATCCCGAAGGATCAAGAAAGCAATCTTCGTTCTTCGTCAAATCCTCCTTCAAGATCAAGCCCCAACGACCCTTGAAGAACTTCCACCAATTCAAGATCAAGCCCCAACGGTCCTTGAAGAACTTCCACCAACTCAAGATCAAGCTCCGACGGCCCTTGAAGAAAGTGTTTATTATTCATCATCCGTTCATCCTAAGATCAAGCCCCAACGGCCCTTTAGATCAACAACATCAACAAATCCACACATCCATTCTTCAAGATCAAGCCCAAAAGCTCTTGAAGAAAACCAACTGTTCATTCAAGATCAAGCCTCGACGGCCCTTGAAGAAAACCAACCGTTCTTCAATCTCCGTCAGATGTAGATTTGTTGATCCAAGGGCCGTCGAGGCTTGATCTTGGATGAACAGTTGTAAGTTTCTTCAAGGGCCTTCGTGACTTTGATCTTGAAGGTTGATGGAAGTTTCTTCAAGGGTCTTCGGGGCTTGATCTTGAATGTTGATGGATGAGCGGATCTTCAAGGGCTTGATCTTGAAGAATGGGTGTATGAGTTTGTTGAGATTGTTGATCCAAAGGACCGTTAGGGCTTGATCTTAGGATGAACGGATGATGAATGAATCTTCAAGGGGCCGTCGGGGCTTGATCTTGAAAGTTGATGGATGAGCGGATCTTCAAGAGCTTTTGGGCTTGATCTTGAAGAACAGTTGGATGTGTGGATTTGTTGATGTTGTTGATCCAAAGGGCCGTTGGAGCTTGATCTTAGGATGAACGGATGATGAATAATGAACACTTTCTTCAAGGGCCGTCGGGGCTTGATCTTGAGGTGGTGGAAGTTCTTCAAGGGCCGTTGGGGCTTGATCTTGAGGTGGTGGAAGTTCTTCAAGGACCGTTGGGGCTTGATCTTGAAGGAGGATTTGACGAAGAACAAAGAGTGCTTTCTTGATCCTTCGGGATTTTCTTAAGAGCTTTAGAACTTTAAGGATTCAAAGTTTTGGTGTGTAGATAAATGTATTTGTGAATTGGTGTTTTTTCCTCTTGATGGAGAAGCCTATTTATAAGCTTTGAGAGTAAATCACCACCACGATCTCTACCTCTCATCTCTGTCTCCGTTCAAGATATTCAAGCACACTCCATGGCTTCAAACAAAGAACAAGTCATGATCATCGGTACTACCTCCATTGAAAAACAGCTGGTTCAGATGAAGGAAACAATTGCAAGGCTAATAGAGACTGCAGATGAGAAAAACTTGCAAACTGCCAGACTCATCAACCGTCTGGAGGCGCAACATAGTGTCATAGTGAAACCAAGCTCTCTTCCAACTAAGAGGACCGAAGAAGGCTTCAACCCAAATGCCTACGAATTCATGTCAAAGGCTAGGCATGACTTTGCTTCCTCTTCAAATCTTGGAAAGAAGGTTTCAAACACCGTCAACGACAAAGATCGTGACCTCACCAAAACTCAAAAGAAGTTGAAGGAGCATGGTTACGGAGTTGACAACAATAAAGTCGGATTTGGCTTCACACCAAATGCACCCGTGAAGATTTCAAGCAGAGTGAAGAAAGCTAGCGCTCAACACATCAGCGTGAGCATTGAACAAGACCAAAAAGAGCCTAAACCTGCCCCTCGGACGTCGGTCTTCGATAGGATGAGCCATTCAAGCTCCAGAATTTCAGTGCTTAATCGCATTGGTAGTCAAGACCGAACCTCTGTCTTCAAGAGGCTTAAAGCGCCAACATCCCAAAGCTCTGCTTTTGAAAGGTTGTTAAAGCCTAAGAAACAAAGCAACACAGCTATCTCTCCTCTGCGACGATTAGCTTCGGAAAGATTTGAAGATAATGAGAAGCCTTTTGGAAAGAGGAAGACAACATCAAAGGAAGAAAAGTTCGATGGGTTAGCAGAAAAAGGCGACGTTCGAAGCTTGATTCCTTCAAGGATGAAGCGCCAAGCAATCCTAGAGATCGACACAAAAGGACCACTGAAGGTAAGGAGGCGCATCATCGTCCACACTGGCAAATCTTCATGCCAACAAACCCAAGAGGATGGCACTGAAGATGAAATCCCTAAGAAATATGTCACTTCTGTCTCTTTCGACTCAAAGTCTTCACCTCGACTATTGGGGGCATGCTCTAAGTCAAGTGAAATTGAAGGATGGACTCATGTCACTCCGAAGAAACTGCACGAGAAACATATGTCTTCTCCACAAGTGCACCAATCAGAAAGGAGGGAAAGCAGCTTTCGCCAACCTCCAAAGAAATGTGAAAATGTTGAAGATAAGAAAATTTCAACACAAAGATCGTTCATGCGGGATCTTTTCTTCCTCGAAGACTTATTCAATTTCTCGATCAAGGCTCCTTGCTATGAAGATTGTGAGGAATGCCTTTCGAAGATCGTTTCGAAGAAATTGGACAAGCAGCAACCATCTTGTCCACAAGTTTATCAGTCGAAAAGGGGGCAAAACAGCTCTTGTCAACCTCTAGAACAATGTGAAAGTGTTGGAGATAATGAAATTTCGACACAAAGATCGTCCATCCCCATCACAATGTGTGACCTCTTCCCAGAAGACTTCTTCAATTACTCGGTCAAGGCTTCTTCCTATGAAGATTGCGAGGAACGCCTCTCCCAGATCACTTGACAAATCCACAACAACAACCAAAGCTCCTCGTTCGCACGAGCCTAAAAGGTGAAAACCACGCTCCTTGCCTGCACGAGTTGAAACTGCAAACGGTAACAAACGCTCCTTGCCTGTACGAGCTGAAACTGCAAACGGCACCAAACGCTCATTGCCTGCATGAGCTGAAACTGCAAACGGCACCAAACGCTCCTTGCCAGCTGAAACTGCAAACGGCACCAAACGCTCCTTGCCTGCACGAGCTGAAACTGCAAACGGCACCAAACGCTCCTTGCCTGCAAGAGTTGAAACTGCAAATGGCACCAAACGCTCCTGGCCCGCAAGAGCATAAACTGTGTACGGCAAAATCATCAAAAAAAAAAAAAAAGAGGGCAACAGAATTATTGCAAAGAAGAAAATAAGGGAAAGAAGGTGCACGACACCACTTGCAAAAGTGAAAAAAAAAAAAAAAAAAAAAAAAGGAAATAACACATCTTGGGGATATATATGTTTTATCTGTATTTAGCACAATACATTGAATAAAATAAAGCATGTCCATTGATCTCCGAGAAATTACAAGTACGTACAAAAAAAAAAAAAAGATCGAGCTTTCACAAAGGTTGTTCACGTGAAACCCCACTACTTGGCAAAACTCCAGGAGCGGGATGCATTGAAGATGGATCATTCGAGGCCTCAATACTTGGTTGAACGCTAGATGACGAAGGAAAAAGGTGCCTCTGGAAGAAAGCCGCAAGCCTTTGACGGTCACTTTGAATTCGACCTTCAGATTCTTGCAGCTAATCAA